AAAAAACATATTCGACAGGTAATGGTTGTCGAATATAATTTCAAAAAAAAAAAAATATTTGACAGCCATTGGCTGTCGATTAAACCAGTTTTAATCAACAGCTAATAACTGTCGAATATAATCCCAAAAAAAATAAAAAACATCTTCGACAGCTAATGGTTGTCAATTAAACATGCGTGAGTACCCCGCAACCTTGACCACAATTTTTCTCCACAAGCCTTAGCCATGTGCCCAGCTTTTTCCCACTAGAAACAAGATCTTGTTGTTGCTTCCCCAATTTTTCTGGTCCATGTCAGGTTCTTGTGTAGTGTAAGGGAGGTTGCCATTTTTTAGTACTTTCCAGTAAAAAATCAACCATATTGCTTATCTTTTCATCTTTGATTTGAATTGGGTTAACTCAAATCCTTTAGGGTTTCCAATTTTGGGATTTTTCTATAGTTTTCCTTTTTGGTTCTGCCCTAGTGCCACTAGATCTTATTCCTTTTGTTAGAAATTCTAACAGTATGACCTTGCAGTAGTGTTTTGCCCATAACTCTTTCTATAGTTATCGAATTAAGTCTATTCTTGATCTTATGAAAAGTTAAGAGATAGTTCTACAATTTTTATGTTGGACATTTAACTCAGTTAAGTTGTTTTCATGGTGAAAATTGTACTACAAATTTGATTTCGATAGGCAGACAAAACTGGCAACCCGACTCTAAGTTAGTATTTTAGCAATAATTTTCTCTGCAAATGTTAGATTAAGGTGATTCTTGATCCTATATAATGCTAAGACATAGGGTTACAATTTATTCATTGACCATTCAACCCAAATTAGTCAATTTCTAAGTGCAAATTCTATTGGAACTTCCAGTTTGAAATTTGACTAGAACTTGCCTAGAAATTTGCTCTGTTTTCTGCTTTATTCCCTCATTATTTGCTGCCACATCCCTTCATGGTTTTAGTAGACTTTTAGTTGCTATTTTCCTACTTTAAAATCCCTTGTTATTGCTTTGTTGTGGTTGCCTTTTTTCTACTACATTTTTGCTTGAATGCTGCTCAGTTTTGGCTTGTAATCTACCATGTTTTGCTATTGTCTTTTACCTAGAAAGTCCCTATTGTTCAAGGCTTTTTCCAAGCATTTTGGGACTGATTTAAATGGTAGAAACCCCCGCTTTGTTGTCCAATATTTCTACTGGTGTTTATGATGGTTTTGAGCTTGGTTTCCCACATTTTTCCATCTTATTCTGCCTAGAAAAAAACTGTTTAGAATATCTATTGTTTAGTGTGACATTTGGAGTTGTTTTGAGCCTATTCTAAGTATTCATTTGATGTGGTATATGTTCTAAATCACCTCAATAGCCTTGAGACCTTGAAATTCTTGCTTATTGTATACCTACAAGACAAGGTAAGTAAAATTATAGTAAATGCCTCTCGATTTTAGGGTAAAGGTTTTAAAAGTATATTTTTAAATTATTTTTGAAGTGGTGGTGGGACTAAACCCGTTTTACTTAAACAGAGTAGGATTAGCTAAAGTGAAGTTGTTATTATTTTTATTGAGTTGAGCATGCCTAAGTGGAGTTTACTTGGTTGTTTTGGAAATTTGAAAATTTGTTCGTAAGCTATGGCTTTCTCATTAACTCCGGCACATTTGCAAATTATGGATTTTCCTGTTGAACTTCCACATGGCTTTGTCTTTAATATGGTCCAGATTTTGGAAACTCGCCAATGGGAGTTGTAAACACTGGCACATGTTGACATGTATATTTGTTGGACCGGTTCATCCTACTAGTGGGATCATACATTGGTATTTTTGTTATCTTGCCAGTGGGAGAGTACATTGGTATCCTATCAGTGGGATCATACATTGTTATTTCTGTTATCCTACCAGCTGAGATAGTACACTAGCCATAACTAATTAAGGGGACCACTAAATTTCAGCACGCATAAATGATTTACAATTGAGATTTCTTCCTGTTTCAATTTCAATGAAGGCTATTCATATTTTTACTAACTAAGTATCTTACATAGTTTTTCCTCGTCCACCATTTTAGGTAGTGAGACTCGAGACATGAGAAACCAAGGGGAGTGATGATCTAAAAGGCTAACCACTTGTATTCTTAAATTTTGATTATTTTGGAGTTAAGTTGTTAGTTAAATTATTCTGGACAAAGAGTTGTATAAATTTTGTGCACTCTTGGCTTAGTAAAGCTTGGATTATAAAAGTCAGGCTTTATTTCGAGATTTGGATCTTAGTTAGTGGATTGCTAAATATGAATTTAGTAGGTTCTGAGCCTTGTGCATTTGTAGGATCATCTCACAAGTGTACGACGTTTATTTTACTTTCGGTTTTGGGGTGTGACAGTCGTTGTGTTGCACCCCTCCTTTTGTATTTCTTATTTTTTCTTTTATCCCTTCTCTTTTGTCTATTTGAGATTTCTTTCTTTCCTAGTACAATCCCTAATTTCTAGAGAAACCACTGAGTTAGTTGGTCCCACAACTCTAAAACTGTTAGTATAAACACTAGTACCGTTTTCATTTACTTCCATCAAGTCTTGAGTCGTCGATGTACATCTACATTTTTCATACACCCATTAACAGGTGTGATCATACCAATACTAATGCATTGGATCCCATCAGAACTTTGCAATTAAGTGTGAATCGATAAGAGTTGTACTGAGATAGGTGACTTTTTGGGAAGTCGTCATGTTGCACCTCTCTTTTCTATTCTTTTTGTCTCGAGTGTGTCTCACACCCTTTCCCCATTCTGTTGGTGCTTTGTCTTTAATTCTCTAAATTGAGTTTTCTCTGCAATTTTCTGCTAATAAAGCTCACCCAAATTTCTTGAAAAATTGAGTAACCGATCTTGTAAGGTCAGAAATGCTAGTTCAACTTGTTAACTCTTGGATCTTTGTGTCATATTTGCCCCTGAACATCCAAAGGCATCAAAGATGGTCACTGAACTTCAGGCTGCAACATTGGCTTTATCCTTTCATCGATTAGGCAATGAGGTGGCCAACTATTTTGCCCATAAATTAGTGCTGTTTAGTTATGAACATTAAACATCGAACATCATGTAGAAATGAGACAGGAATTCAAATGGTTTATGTGACAAATATTTTTTTTTTTTTTGCTTCAACGAGAGCCATGTTAGTATTTTTGCACCTTGAGAATCCACCCACGTCTGTAGCTTCGGTACTTTTCGGAGGTCTAGGGATGGGTTAGGCACGAATAAGAAAGTTGAGGGATGAATTTTCCTATTTTAACCATCCTGTAACAATGTCCAAAAGTTAGGATCGTATTGGTAATTGTTTTATTTGCCCTGCCCAGGTCCTATCTTGCCAACGACTAAATGCATCTAGTGTGTGTACATCAACGGGTGCTATATCACACCAACATTAATGCACTGGATCCCAATAGAACTCCATAGTTAAGTATGCTTGGGTGACCTCCTAGGATTTTATCTCTAGTTCTTACCCCCATCCCCTCTGCTTGCGATCTCTTTTCCTCCCAGTAACAACTCTAAAGTTGGTAGTGCGAACAGATTGGTACCGTTTTCATTTGCTTGCTCCGAGTTCCAAGTCACCAATGCAAATCTACATTTTTTGTGCGCTCGTGGACGAGTGTGATCATACCAGCATTAATGCACCGGATCCCATCAGAACTTTGTAGTTAAGCATACTTGGCCGAGAGTAGTACTAGGATGGGTGACCTCTTGGGAAGTCCTCGTGTTGCACCTTTCCTTTTTTTATTTCTTGTTCTTAACCCCATCCCCTCTGCTCACAATCTCTTTTCCTCTTAGTAATGTCTCTGAAGTTGGTAGTGCGAATAGACCGATATCGTTTTCATTTGCCTGCTCCAGGTCTCAGGTCATCGACGCATATCTACATTTTTCGTACGCCCATGGACGAGTGCGATCATACCAGCACTAATGCACCTGATCCCATCTGAACCTTGCAGTTAAGCAGGCTTGGACAGGAGCAATACTAAGATGGGTGATTGCCCAGGTAGTCCTCGTGTTGCACCCCTCTCCATTCGTCTCTTTTTCCTTCCATCCATTATACTTGTGATTTCCTTCCCTCTTTTCGTTTGCTTGCTCCAAGCGTCGAGTCGCCGACGCATATCTACATTTTTCGCGCGCTCGTGGACGGGTGCGATCATACCAGCACTAATGCACCGGATCCCATCAGAACTCCGCAGTTAAGCATGCTTGGGCGAGAATAGTACTAGGATGGGTGACCTCCTGGGAAGTCCTCGTGTTGCATCCCTCCTTTTTCCTTTTCCGTTGCGTTGCTTCTTTCTTCTTCTTTTTTTTTTCTTTTTTTTTGGTTAAATATCCTTTTTGGTCCCTCTACTATAGGAAAAAGCCCCTTTTTAGTCCCTATACCGAAAAATTCTCCTTTTTGATCCTTACTGTTCACAAATCCGGCCCCTTTTTGGTCCCTTCGTTAAATTTTGGCTTACGTGGCATGTTAATTAACGGAAAACAGCTGACGTGGTATACCAACGCGTAAAATATGTTTATGTGGACTCCACGTC